GGATCGACAAGCTCAACACAAGATCCGCACAAAGTGCACTCCGGCCTGATGGCAAGGAATTCTACCATGATCCAGAGATGGAATTCTACGTGAGATGCAACAGCAGACATACACGACAAGTCGAGATCCAATCCTTTGGACGACCCCTGTACTCTGAGCAGCAGAAAGAACCTCACCACGACGAACCGGACTATGATCTTCCAACGGAATCCGTTCCACCAAGTCCACATCCGTCGAGGTCAGATGCTCCTCATGAAGATGAAGGCACAGCTCAGCCCAAGCACAGAATGCGAAGGCCGGCACCACCATCCATTGAAGAAGAGAGAAAGATCAAGCCGTTCGCGAAGAAGCCCATCACATTCATGTTCCATGCAACCTATGGAAATCAGCTCCTCAGCATCGTGGAGAACGGGCTCAAATCTGGGAAGTCCCAGTCGAACCCTTCGGGGAGAATGCACGTCCACATGGCATGCATAGACGACGTCATCCTTGACGACGACGCGTCAGAAGCAGCACTAACCCATGTGCCAGCAGGAAGAGATGCACTGTTGATCCTTGCATTCCTCAAGGACCAGGACTATGGCATCCGACTCTCTGAAGAGCGAACAGCGATAACAGATCAGACCATCGAGGCGAAGAATATTGTTGCAGCATATGAACCTGATGGTAGCATCATGATGAGCAACAACTGGATCATGAAGAAGCTTCTCAGTCGTGAAGACTCTGAGATGTACGACACCAAGATCCGTGAATTCGCCGATGCCTTCTTCAATCATGTAATTTCCAACCAGCACAACAAAGAAAAAGATACTTCCTCAGAGACCAAGAAGCGACGGCACTCCACCGATCAGGACGAAGCTGAAGAGGAGACCATGGAACCCTCCGGGGAGAGATCCGTCAAGCCAAAGGTCACCATGGAGTATCACAACACCGAGAACCTAGACGAGTTCATCAATGAATTCAAGGAAATCTACCTCGAAATAGAAATGAACAAAAAGGACGCCGAGGACGCTCGCGGAAACCAAGGAGAACCTCCGCCGTTTCCTGGACCAGTACACCAAGGATCCAAGAAAAGCTCATCCTATGTTGACAGAATGCGAGAGAGCCTCACTGGCACACGTCGATCCAGACGTCAATCTCGGAGAAGAAGAATTCTACTTCGATCATCAAGGAGAATGTCCCACCATGGGCGAGTACCGGCAGGCACAGCCATTTTCCGGCTATCCCATCAAGCTTCCGCTGGGATTGAAAAAGCGTAAGTCAAATGACGACCCAGAGCTCATCCGAGCATATGCCGATATCCTGGGATCGCTGATGAAGCCGACCGACCGTTCACCTGAGGACCATCTCAAGACGCATGCGTTCACCTCATCCCTGACGCTCAACATGCTTACCATGAACCACGGAAACCTCACGAGGAATCCAAAGCTTGGCAACAGGGAGGTGTACAACATGCCGATGAAGGATCGACCAATCATGAAGATGATGATGCAGAACAGTGCGCACATCTTATGCTTGAATGAAGCAGACGCATTCTTCAGTCCTAATGATGAGAAATCCAGAGAGCTCATCAAGATGTTCATCCGATTCGGATACAAGGGCATTGTGATCAAGCAATGGTCATCCAGACCAATCGCATGCTTTGTCCGCGGCGGACCATCCGCAAGAGTGGAACTACTGGCAAGGTACATTTCCACCAGGAGTCAGAATTGGGGGAACCACATTCGGAATGTTCAGATGCTTCTTCGGCACAGAGGAAAACTGCACTGATCCCGAACTAGAAATTCCGACCTCGGACTGCTTGGCAACCACGGGAACATCCATGTTCTCTGAATCCAAAAAGTACATTGGATCGAAATTGCCACCACGCACCATTGTCCAAGGATACGGACGAGAGAAAGAGATTATCGTTCTCCAAATCGAGCAGAGTGATGAGTTTCGAGGCATGCTCCCGAAATCATCCAACAAGTCACTCCTCGAGTTTGACGACCGCCACGTGACGAGGGCAGACCTCCCGTTTGCTACCATTGGAGTTTTCCACATCCATCCATCAATCAGCCATGGAGCAGCACGGGACGACTTTCAGAAGGAGATCATGCCGCTCGTGACATTGTACCACTGCGATGCGATCACAGGAGACGCCAACAAGTCCGCGAATACCTACAGCAAGCTCCAACAGGTTTACAATCCGGCAAACGGTCTCATGAACATCCTCATGAAGGCATACCAGAAGCTATGGAATAAAACCAGCAACATGCCACTCGTGGACAGAATGGAGTATGCAATGGAGACTTCGTGCACCCTCAAATCCATCCTCCGTCATCACCTGCACATGAAATGCGGATCAGGGTATGATCGAACATTCCCAGATGTGATGATGACATTCGTGTTTGGATGGGGCAAGACGAACATCCAGCAGGTTTTCCGGAATGAGGAGATGAACGCCATGAATGATGAACAACTGGCAGCCATGCGGAACAATCCAGCAAAGGCCATCTTCGACTATCAGGTCTCATCCGCAGAGCGCTTCAAGCACGTGAACAATGACATGTTCATGAATGGCTCACAGGATTCCGATTCGCACAGTCCCCTCATGGTTTACATCCGCAGCAAATCTGCATTCAGGAAACGTAACTATGAGAGAATCAAGGAGTACCACCAGAAGAAGCAATCCTGGACCCCGCAAGAATACAAGGACTACAACAAGCAGTGGGGATATCCGAAGCAGTGGAAGGACTATAGCGACTCGACCTGGAATGATTATGGAGACTATGGAAGTCAATCCGACAGCAGCCGTCGGTGGTACAAATGAAAAGCCACCTTTGGCATCCACCCGATTGACCGAGAAGACTCATACGTTCAGCACTACGAACGACAACCAGATTGATCCTCACCGCCAACAAGACTATTCAGTGAGAGATCAATAGTTTCACATTTGTCCCGCATGTACATAGCGTTGTACATCACCTTTCGATACATCTAGGTATCTCAGAGAATCAGTACAGACTGTTTTCCATTTTGCAGATCAAGACATTTCATCCGCGCAGAAAATAGGATGAATATAGCATTTCAAGAAACATGGCTACGGCAAGCAACCAGGCTACGGCCAAAGGCCATGAAGCCAAGAGTATTTCATACTTAGTGCTGGAGATCAAAAGAAATTTGTGTCTGTTTTGTGTTTGGTTTGTTGCACAACTGATCTCCTGCAACCATTTGGCTCAAGGCCCTTTTTGTGTATCATAGCACACTCATGATCGCGTGAGAGAAAGGAACCTTTGCAGGGCGCTTACAGGATTATATCACAATACAATCCACCAGGGACAATCCATCCTCCAATCATCCATATTGGCATGTTGGACTCTCTCCGGAATAGATCTAGGGACCACATCAACGACCTCAACTACCACAAGGGTACCAGTTCCCTTCGGGGATAGGCACCCCGGCAGTGGGCCTCACCCCCCCCCCTCCCCCCCAAGACTTCCAACCAAACCCCCCCCCCCCATCCTTCAACGATACCATGAACACTTCGTAGGGTGTTGTTGATTCTCCAAGCCTCATAATTTGGAGCCTGGAGTACTCCAACACGAATTGAATTGGAATGTTGAAGGGGGCAAAATGTTGTTTGGGAAATGAACAATCTTCGGCCCAAGGGAACACAATCTGAGCAATTTCTTCAAAACACTTTGTTTTACAGTTTTTTGTTGGACCTGCAATCCCTTGAAATGTCCATGGTGAAGCACCTGAAACCTAGAATCTGGAGATCAGAATCCTCGAGATGTCTAGCGTTGGATTCTCCAAGCCTCATATTTTGGAGCTGGGAGTCCTCCAACATTTTTAAATATAGATTCCCTTCCAAATATACTGCGAATTGAATTGGAATGTTGAAGGGAAAACTGTTGTTTGGGGAAAACAATCTTCGGTCCAAGGGAACACAATCTGAGCAACTGCAGCAAAACACTCTGTTTTACAGCATTTTGTTGGATCTCTAATCCCTTGAAATGTCCAATTTGAAACACCTGAAACCTAGAATCTGGAGATCAGAATCCTCGAAATGTCTAATGTTGGATTCTCCAAGCCTCATAATTTGGAGCCTGGAGTCCAACATATCCAAGTACACATTCCTTTCCAAATACGATCTTGATCCGAATTGAATTTGCATATTGAATAGAATTTAGTGAGCACATAGTTCACCACCATTCATAATTCACCATAATGTCTATATTAGATCAGAATTTGAACAGGAATACCTTTCCAAATAAGGAAAATATCATTGCAGTAGAATCCAAATATACTTTAATGCAGACAGAATTCAATTAGCTTTTGAACATAATAATTTAATCAAGAATCCACCCCCCAAATACAGCTTGAATTGGAATATAGCTTATTCTGGAAAGAAATCACTTGGCCTTTGCAAACAAATTTTAATAGTAACTCATTCCCAAATATGATTTAGCTTAAATGTGGCTAAACAAATAAAGGGCACATATCCCCAGACTCCCAAACTTGGTCTGGAGATGTGTTTGGCATGTGCAGGTCTCAGAGCTTTCATTTTCCGGAGATTTTGTGCTTTTGGGTCTGTGCAGGTTGCAGAGCTCAAAGCTGCCAAAAACATCATTGTTTCAATGTTTTTTCCCTGGTGTACTCAAAACCACTGTAAAAACCAGTGATTCAATCAAAGCCAGGCTCGAATCTGAAAACGGAATCCGTTTTCGCTTTGCTGCCTTTCAAGCCTCAAATAATCAGACATTTGCTGTCATATAGAAGGTAAAAAAACAACAAAAACACTGTATTTTACAGTGTTTTCAGGCATCTGCAAGAAAGAGGCACACAGAGTAGAGTTGACACCTTCAACTAGAAGAGGGCAAAGGTAGGCCCTGGGGGGGGGGGTGACCATATATATATATATATATGCATAGTAATAATAGGAATAAGAATAACAATAATAATTGTGTGTGTGGCATGCATACAAAAAAGGGACAAAGCTAAAGACACGCCCTGGCCTCCACATCATCTTGGCAAAGTGCGCAAATGTCCGCGAAGCCTCTCGTGACATTCGAGGCTCAAAGCGCGCAGGCGCACGGAGGCCCCTGCCACGGCTCTTCGTGGGGATGAGCCCAGCGGATGGATCCTTCGGTGCTGGCCGGCGCCGCTAGTCGTGCAACGCCGCAACGCGCCGGCGCGTTCAACGAGCCGTGGATGATGAGGTAAGGATGATCCACCTAAACAGCAGAAGCCGGCAGCACATTCGACATATGCAACATCATGCAACAACCCCCAAGAAACTCGACTGATCTCCGGTGGTGACTGGACATGCCCTGGGCACACCGCTGCCTGACGAAGGCGCATAATTAAGTCAAACCTGACGGTGGGGGGCAGGTGAAAAGAGAGTTGGGGCGAAGCAACAGGTGGGCTTCCGGCACATGTGCGTAGTTGTGGAGCACGGTTCCGCTCTCAACATACGTGTCGAATTGCGTTCGACCTTCCAAGGAACACTTCATGCCGCAATGAAGTTGGCAATGAATCCCAAACCTCTGAGATCCAAATATAAGGCCCTATTCAACTCTCAGCAAGAGAATCAAGGCGCCAAGTGGCCTTGCGTGTACATCGCAGTGTAGAAATCTCTCTCCTGCGAAGACAAGCCATCCTTGCCTCAGCCAGAGCTTGCTGGGAGCACGTGGGACGACAGGGCCGAGGGCGCCGCGAATTCGCACGGAAAGGGTAGGCAGCCTGGAAACAGAGAAACACACCTTGCCATGACATGCTGACCTCCCCAGACAAGGAGCTTGACGTCAGCCGCTCTTTCCAGTTTTGTCCGTCGAAGGAGGATGCCTGCGACGCAGCCACGCTAGGCTTAGGCTCACTAGGACTCAAGGAGGCAGAAACGGGGCCGGGTGGGCGGTCCAGCACTTCGGTGCGAAGCAATTCCATCGCCTGGGCGTCACTACACTTGCAGCCCCTAGCCCCCAACGAACCGAGGCCGGCCTTCTTGCCCGCACCGATAAAGCCAAACTTCTTGATGGGGTTTGAGACCTCATGGCCCATTGGCTTGCGCGGCCAATGACGCCACCTCAAGACCAGCGCTTCTGTCACGAAGTGGCTGCGGTGCTGCATTTTCGTGTGACCTGGCGCAACCCCCTACCCAAATTCAGCGCTGCCGAGCCACCCATATTCTTGCTTGGTTTGAGAGACGCCGATCTTTTTCTCCTGCTTTGTTTCTCAAATGATTCCCGATTCCAAGCAATACGGGAATATAGAAGACAAAGGAGGCCAAGAGGCCAAGCGTGCAGGGCAGGCCGCACTTTCGGCACTTCGATGTCTCCGGATCAAAGCGGTAATGCAGCGATGCGCAGGAGCAGCCTTTCTTGCTGCACAAGTAATGTGCCTCGGGATGCCCAGCCATTAGTCAAAAGATGCACATAACCCTGGGCTGCAAGCGTAGGGGTAAAATTGAATGAAGCGAATGATCGACCAAAACTCGCCAACCCGGTTCTGGAGTGGCCTTGGCAGGCATTGCGGGCAACTCTGCCCTCCATCACTCGCAAATATTCCGTGCCCGCCCGATGACAGGGGCCCCCGGCGTCCCTGACAAGCACCACCTGGAGCCATCAACGCGCAGGGCGAAAGCCGCCTGCAAAGCAAACAAGTCAAATGAAACGATGGCATCCATGGTCGTTCCAAATGAACAGCCAATTTGGCAACCTGCGCTGTGCTGTTGGTGCGCGTCTTGATGCGGTGCGCCTAGCCCACAAGCTCTGCAAACTGAAGGCCCGCAAATGCCCACCTCGTCCAGGACAACTCGGCCCCAGAGCGTTCTGTACAGTGCCGACCTGGCTGGCGCGAGGCCACGTTGTCCTCCTTTCATGTCTCACTCCAGTGGAAAAGTGAGCCTGTTTGTTGCTGCGTTTCTTCGCGCATTCGAGCCAACCCTTGCCTCCAAACCCACTTTGGATGAGAGTCTCACAACCCCGAAGGATTTTCGCTGCTCACAAGATCTCAGACTCCGTTCCGCCGACAACTTGCTCTTTTCAGCACTTCGAGCACTGAGGGCTTGACCTTGAGAGGTCCATATCATCCTCACTCGCCTAGCCAGGCCACAGCTCTTGAAATCTTTTTGGGGTGCACCATGTCAAGCCTCGTCCTTGGCAAAAAAAATGCAGTTTCGCGTTTTGACAACACGGCGGTGGCCCAGAAGGCTCAGCGCCTCCCGAGCCGAAGGAGCCGGAGCCGACGCGGCCGACGGAGCCGACGGAGCCGACGGAGCGGAAGACGACCTGCCCGTTTCTTCCAGCCCCGAAAAGGGACCCACGGGACCCACAAAACCCACGGGAGCCAGGGCCACGGGAGCCACGGGACCCAGGCCCAAAGGCGAGCATGGAGCCGACTTCATGCGTGAGTTCCAGGTCGCTATCGTCACCTCAGCTCTAGCCCTGGCATCCCTAGCCTTCCTTTGTCGTAAACTAGGCCGTCAAATCGCTTTGAGTGAGCTCGATCACTTTGGTCGATGGTGTGCTTGCTTTCAAGGCTGTCCCCCAAGCATTCCTCGCCTGGCACTCGAATACAGTCCATCAGTCCAACCGGTCCAAGCAGTCCAAGCAGTCCAAGCAATTGCTGTCCAAGCGGCCGAGCGCGCGCTTTCCGCAGCTTTTGTGGTGACTGCCTCGATAGCCTCTTCTCGCTTCTCGGTGAGCACGAGCATCACGAGGCAAAGCGAGTGCGAAGACTGAGCCAGCGGCGCTTGTTGCACTCGGCCTTGACCTGCGCCGAGTCTCGGAGGTCTCGGAGGTCTTGGAGGTCTCGGACTCGGCTTTCTTGCCCTGGGCGTGGGCCGCGCTGGGCGCGCGAAGCAAAAATGAAAAGCGCAGAAAAGTCGGCCCCGTGCCTCAGGCCCGCGGCCTGGGCAGAGCGCTCGCCCCAGAAAGTCACGGCCGACCTCCCGCCTCGAAGAGAGGCTTGGGCTTCTTCCGGCAGCACGGACACTGGAAAAGGCCTCAGTCCAAAGTCTCGACTCGTGACTTGTGCCAAGCGAGCTCCGGACATGGCGCCATTCGCAGGCTTGCGACGGCCTCACTTCGAAGAACCTCCAACGAATCCGGCAACGCCTTACGCCTGACGCCTGGGGGCCAAACGCAGCGCCGATGTTGCCGCACTTCGAATCGCATTCAAGGGATTCAGCACAATGTTCGTCTCCGCGCCGCCAATCTTCATCTTTTTCACCGCTTCGTCCTTGCAGAGGAACATCAACAACCCCTGAGCAAATCAGGGCAATGCCCTGCTCTGCCAGTCCTTGTAGTCAGCTTTCCGCCGCGCCTTCATCTGCTTTTCTGTTCTCTGAGCATCAGGGCCGCAAAAGTACCGCTGGTGATAGAACAGCTTCTCCTTCTGGTAGAGCCGCCCACACCACTGACACTGGACTTTGGTGAGGTTGACTTGTTGTCGATATTCATACTCCAGCGTCTGGTACGTCGTCAGCACAACAACACGCCTGAGAAGAATTTGCTCATTCATCAAGTCGCCCAGGACCTCCTTCTTTTCCGTGCCATAGTAGAGCCGAACCTCCAAGCTGCCTGATCTGAACTCTGGGTTTGCCAAGAAGTCCAAAGGAAGGGGGCAAAAGAGCAAAGACAAACAAAACCAAGAAGGGCTCCAAAAATCCAAAGGAACATAATGGAACATAATGGAACATAATGGAACATAGGGGTCGCGGAGCGGTCGCACGAGCCTGGCTCCGTGAAGCGGAGGATCTCGTTGCGCCACTGGAGCATGGCTGCAGCGGGGCACACCACCAGCGTGGCGCCAGGTGCTCCTGGCTTCACATGAAAAGTTCCAAGGAGCCTCAAGCCTTGCCGCAAAAGGGCCGCAAAAGCGCACAGCAAAAGCCGTAAAAGCCGTCCTGCCAAGATGAGGGAAATGGTTTGCAGCGTCTTTCCCATGCCCATCTCATCTGCCAGTATGCCACCCCGCGTCAGCTTGTCAGCTTCTCGCTCCAGCATCCACCCCAAACCTTCACATGCAACCGTCCAAGTTGGCAACGCGCAATCACTCACCTCGCCTTCCGCCTGGAAGGCAAGGAGTGGCAGCTTCAGATTCTTCGGGGAAGGATGTGCAGCAAGCTGACCTCTGGTCCCCAGCGGCACAAGCTGTATTGGCGGGCGCCCAGAAAGCGTGCCGGACGCAGATTTGGCCGAACGCGTGCTTTCCTTTGCACAGAAGAAAACTCTGCAAACATCCGCAAACCACGTTCGCCTGTTTGCTTTGAGTTCTAGCCCAGGAACGGCCGGGCTCGCTGCTGTTTTAACCTTTGGGCGAGAGGCGGGCCGTCTGCACTGCCGGCAGCTCGAGCGGGGCCTTGACCTCAGGGCGCAGCAGCGTCTCCCGGCACTCCAGGCGCCTCGGGACCCAAACAAAAACGCGACGCCTAACTTTGGACTTCACATCTTCCACCTTCCAAATGGCCAAATAGCTGCTGTCAAAACAAACTGTCTGCGTCACTTGCGAGGAGGTTGCCCAGGACCAGGCCATATTTCCACTGCCAAGAAGCTCCTCCTTCGTCATCGCCTCGACGCCCAGGACCCTTTTGCCCAGCTGCACCTCCCCCATCTTGGCATAGGCCATCAAGGTCTCATCTGCCCGCGCGCACTCCAGGTGAAGCCAATTAACAATCGCACCATAATTGCCTGGCGGGGCCGCAATTGCAACAACACACCACCAAGTAACAGGTGGTTTACCCGGCTTTATGTTTGACGGGCGTAGATCGCCGATGTTTGACAGCTCTGAATATAATGTCCTCAACATGCTGCGCCTGTCGTCCTAAAATATGTTTCGCTCTTCGAACCCAAGCACCAATCATGCGCACCCAAGGCCCCCTTTCTGGAAAACACGCGGCAAGAATTGCAAGCGGCACGCGCACAGTCTCATGACAAACCCCACTTCCATCTCCAAGTCAAGAGAGCTCGCGACACAGAAGTAAAGATGACCACTTGCCTCGATGATCCTTGACAGGGTAGCCGACCCGCAGCGTGGCCTTGGCAATCTTCACTCCGCAGCATTTGCAGGCAGCCACGCCAGTCTTGGACTTCTCTGCCTCAAGCTTCGCTGGCTCGGCCAGGCCCAAACATCACTGTCAAAGGTGCATAAGATGGATGCAAGGATCATGCCAGGGTCCCGCCTGGTGCGTGTAACCTTTGAGCAGCACGCTCCGCCGTGCCTTGGGCACATTGGAGACTTGGCCGCGCGGCACCCAGTCACGACCTCGAACGGCACGCCAAGCGGAACCAAGGTTGGGGGTTGCAGCGCGCCTGGCCTGAAGCGTCGAAGCCGCAATTGCCCAAACGCTTTGGCAGCCGCGCTGCGGCAGCCAGGGACACCAAACCCTGAAGGTCATCACCGCCCAATTCCTGGGGCAAAGGTGCCCAGGGCTCAAGTGTCAGGGATTTGGAGGCGGGATGTTCATGTGCTAAGCGGGCGAGAGGGGGAAAAAAAAACGACTTGCAGTTTCCCCCGTCTGCCCAGGTGCCAGCGCTGCACTAGGCGCACTTGGCGCGCCCGTGCTTGGCGAAGAAGCCGATGCCGGCGACGTCGCTGAAGCCGTGGAGTTCGAGCTCGGGCCGTCCTTTGGCGCTACTTCGGGCGCTTGTGCCTCCGGCCGTCGCTTTCCTGCCAGAGACAGGAAACTCTGAAAAACTTGCGAACCAGACCGAGCCAGGCCTGACCCTTTGGCAGACGTCTCTGGCATTTCAAGCCTGTCTGGCGTCTCTTGCTCTTCCGACTTCTTGGATTTTTCTGGCTTCTTCTTTGGTTTCGCTGGCTTTGGCTGCACGTCCTCCTTTCGCCTTGTCCTTTCCACCTCCTTTGCCTCCTTTGGCTGCTTCTCTGGCTTCATCTGCGCAAGTTGGTTTGTGACTGGCACCCCGTGTCTCCGGTTCGCCTTCAAACGGTTTCATTGTTCTTCTCAATGGACCACGGGCTAAACAAACTGCCACTTAATTGCGCCACCTCATGAAAGTGCAAACACAGCGTTTAACAAAAAGGGTTCGCACAGCACCTCACTGCAAAACCGAATGCCGCATGCACAAGTCAGTGTACCGGCAAAACTACATGGGTGTGTAGTTTGGGGCGCGCTTCTAACTCTCACTGCATCTTTCTCTTTACCTTTAGCTTTGGCATTCCCTTTGTGTGTTGTTCTCTCTTTGTCTGTGTCTTTCTCTTTCTCTTTCTCTTTACTTAAATCTTCGTCTTTGTCTTTCTCCTTCTCTTCTTTCTCTTCCTCCTTCTCCTTCTCTTTCTCGTCTCTCTTCTTATTTTTTCCTTTTCTCTGTTCTCTCTTTCTCTCTTGCTCTCTTTCTCTCTTTCTCTCTTTTTCTATTTCGCTCTTTCTCTCTTTCTCTCTTTCTCTGCTTCTTTCTTTCTCTGTTTCTCTCTCTCTTTCTTTCTTTCTTTCTTTCTTTCTGTCTTTCTTTATTTCTTTCTCTCTCTCTCTCTCTCTCTCTTTCGCTCTCGCTCTCTCTCACTCTCTCTCTCTCTCTCTGTCTCCCTCTCCCTCTCGCTCTCTCTCTCTCTCTCTCTCTCTCTTTGTCTCGCTCGCTCTTGTCAAAATCAAACTGCCAACTCTCCAAGTGCAAGTGCTGGGATGTTGTCCTAGTCAAACCTGGAGTCTGCTTCACACCTGCTTTCTCGTGGGCTCGCATGTGATGAAGTTAAAAAAGAGCAAGGCCTGCGGTCGTGCACCAACATGCACAACTCACAAGCCGTGCAACATGTACTTTGACAAGGCCTCTCAGTTATGGTCTGTAATATCTCACAACTGCTACAAGAGGGGAATTAGCAGTAGTGATGAAAGCAGGTGCTATTCACCTGTGTAGGGAAAAGTGTAATTCTCAAACGCGCCTGCTGCTCAGGCTCAGTAGTCAACTTGAGCGGCGCAAATGATGCAGTCCCAAAAAAAGTTCGGGCAGAATGTTGCTGCCAGTAGTGTCTTTGCTGTTGCTTCATTTGATCAAGCCTTGGAATTGTAGTTGGAAGATTGAGGTAGTCGATCAGTAGTTGGCCTAATCCTCTGATAGTATCAAAGTCTTTGATAGCACACACCGACATGGCCACGGTAGTTGCTGAAAAGTACGAAGTAGTTGCTGGTGTGTGGTGCTGTTGCCGTGGGTAGTAGACAGTGGATGGTATCCATAGTACTCAGTGGCCTTGGGTAGCACATTGTCTGCTGGTGTGATCTGAAGAAGTGTAGGAGTTTTTGCGTGTTGAGAGTCGGTAGTCCCAAATGAGGGAACCGCCACGTTGAAGTTGTTGCGTGTCGTCAGTTGGTAGTGCGATTGTGATAAGCACGTAGTTCTCTGTTGTCTGTGGTTGCGTGGCCCTCAGTGCTGCCGTAGGTGCCACAAATAGGAGGCATGCGTCCTCTGACGCTGATTGCAGGTAGGTTTGTGTAAGTGACCGGGAAGCGTAGTGTGAAGTGAGACTGAAGTGCAAAAGATCCTACGCAGCGGCGTGGGTAGACATGCAACTAGACAAAGGTAGCAAAAAGTCCTAGTGCCATGACTTGTAATTGCCATTCCTTACATGAAACTATTACATGTAGTTACATACAACGAGGTCTTGCGCGCGCGGATGCGAAGGCTTACTTGCTGCAAATGTTTGCTTCCAGTAGCAAGTTTCCGAGGTGTTGGATTGGATTGGATTGGAGGGCGACCTACAGAGCAGTAAACTTCTCTGCGGTCCGAGCAGTCCCTCCACTGTCGGGTCAACGGCACTGCTCCGCAAATATCATAGCAGGCCTCACCGCCGGCTTCTGGGTGCCCATGCGGCTGAGCTGCACGATGGCGAGGAAGAACAAAAACAAACAACAGAAAAGGAAAGGAACCCCTCAGAACGTCGGCGCCGAGGGCGGAGAGGCATCGGCCCCAGCGCCTGCCCCAGTCATACCGATCGCATCCAGACCCGCCGGACGGCAACGACACAAAAAGCTTGGTGGCTGACCCCTTCCAAGACACGCAGTCACCCAGACACGTGCCAGAGAAGCGAGGGAGCTGTTCCATTGTGCCAACTTGGAGGTCCAAGCGGTCCACCTCGCTGGCAGACGCCACGCTCGACGCATCGCTGCCCTCCAGCAAAGCACCTTCCGCGCACAGGTCCATGAGTCCTGCCGGCAGGATGACGTACGGGGGCAGCCGGATCACACCGGCTACACACGCAAGAAGACGGAAGCCTGCGGAGTCACACCCACAAGGGGCCCGCTGCCGGCTCACACCAGCAGTAAACACCCAAGAGTGCGATCACACGCACAGCACCGGGGGGCAGTGACAGCCAAAGAGAAAGAAGGGAACTCGGGGTCACACCTGGGCCCGCCCCTCCCCAAAAACGGCCAAGAAAGGAAGAACCTGCTAGGCCCGAGGGAAGTTTCTGAGGTGTATGTAGTCCCTCGTTAACTTCTGCGCGCATTGCGCATAGTTCAGATTCTGTTGAACTTAGCGCGATTGCAGCTTGTGTTCGGCTGCCAAACGCTTCCTTGTTGGGCATCCTGCCCAATCCGCATCGACGCACACGTCAAGGTCGAGGATGTTGTTTGTGCACGCTCTTAGCGGTGTTGTTGGTTCTGTTGTGTTCTTGTAGTGTTTGGCGCCGCGCAGGCAACGTAGTTAATGCCTGACTCGCGTTGAAAGTTCTGTAGGTGCTGCGAGGTCTCGCACTAGCTCTTCTGTTGGCAACCATAGCTCTTTTTGCTAGCTCTTTTGCTGCGACGTCTTGCGAAGACAATGTCTGGTCGTGCGTCGCCGGCTAACTGTAGTTTGCCAACAATCCTTCTGTACCTGTTGTGTCGCTCATGGTCGAGTAGTGCGTAGGAGTCCTGCAGTCCAATGGCGCGGCGGTGGCCGAAGCGCTCGGCGTTTCTTCCCAGAAGTTGTTGTGGTTTGCCGGGCTCGAGCAAGCCAATTGTGGATTGCATCGACGGTAGTCTTGTGTCGCCAAGCACCAACAAGTCGTCCACGTGGACCATGATGTAGCAGTCCCAAGCCGCGTTGGTGTAGACGCATGGTTCTGACTTGAGCCTTACCAAGCCGAGCTTCGTAGCACTGTAGCCGGTAGTCTTGCCAAGCATCAGGTGAACTGTGCAGTCCGTACATGGCTTTCTTGAGCCGCCCTTGGCCATAGTCTGCCTAAAAAAGGCCAAAGTCGGTTGCCGTCTTTGCTGCGGGTGCGTGTAGGCATGCTGTAGATCGTGACATTTGTAGCGCGAGAGCCTGTCATTGATTGATTCCGTAGAGCTGGGTCCGCTCCCCCCAAGGTAGCATGGAGTGCGTCTTGTTCACGGCGTAGCTGCCCACCTTCTTCCTCACCTGCCTCTTGTCGGTCGTCGGAAAAGCGCGCAGCCCAGGTCGGTGCACTCGTAGATCTCAACCTCGTCTCCATCCAAGCTCTCTCGCAGAATGTCCGACTTCTGGCATTGTGGGCATAGCAGCACTCGCCGTCTGCAGCTCTTCCAGCATTGATCCCCAGAACTGCTGGCACTTCCGCTCCGGATGTTCAGGTACAATCTCCCTCCTCGTCTGAGTCCGTCATCACGATGTCCTCCAGCTTCGGCATAGGTGTCGTTAAGACCACCGGCGCCTTCGCTGCCGACCTCACTGCTGGCCGAACCTAGCTGGTAGTCGGGCTTGAGGTACACCTTGATGTCGTTCCACTAGTTCACCTCCTTGACCCGGCATCCTCTGCTCTTGCTTGCAATTAAGGTTTGAGTGGATGCAGCTCGCGCTGTCCTCCAGCTTCGCCACCAAGTACTTCCCGTGGCCCATGATCTCCGCCAGTGGCCTCCATCTCTCACCCTCGTCCTTGGCCTTGCGCATGGTGAGCGTGCTCAAACTTTGTGCTGCCGCCTGTGAGATAATCTTCTGCTCCTCCTGCTGCAGCTGCAAAGCTTGTCGTTCGAGTCGCTCTCGTTGAGCGCCAATCGGCGAGCATCCCTCAGCTGTGGCCCACGGCTCACCTCCAGCATGCCTTGCCACGCCTGCAGGGAAAGATAGTAGCAGGCTCGGAGCAAAAAGCGCCGCCACCAGGCCCATCGCAAAGATTTGGCCGTCGGTATAAAATGCCTCTCCGTACTCCGGCGGGGCCCCGGTAGAACAGATTTGGCTGTGGGCGCATGCAAAGTCAGCTGGAACATGATAGCCGCGTCCAAACTCCACGATCGACACTGCAATGGCAACCGAATCATATCTTGCTTGATTCCCAAAGCCAGATACGAGGCCTTCCTCCACCGCATAGCGCAGGGCCGAGCTCTCGCCAGCCCCGCGGCGCGGCACGGCTGTCGCAGCCGCGTAGGGCGCCGGGGGCGTAGGGGTCGGTCGTGCGTTTCACCTTGTCTCACCGAGGACGGAAAAAGGTCCGCGATTAAAAAATGATTTTGCAGTTCTTCATGTCAATCACGGCGCCCGGGTCTGTCAAAAAGAATGCAGGGATCAGGAACGGTACATCACCACCGACGATCTGTACCCTCAAAATTCCGTACTCCCCAGCCAGACCAATGGGAACATAAGCTATGCTAGAATTTTCTTCCAGGCCACTTTACCACCGTCTTCACCAGAACATTGCACCTGCAAACCACAAATCTGCTGCAATAAAGCGTCGCGGCGATGGAGGGTCCTGCTTCCAACCAAACCATGTTGCGCTGCCGTGTCCACAAGAGCTGTCCCCGGCCCGATGTGATCCCGAGCCATGAACACATAGCTCAAACCTGCAAACTCGCCCATATTTGCCGCCTTGCTCGGACTCGATCCGATATCGCAAAATGAAAAACAGTCGACATTGGGCTACACTCGGCGGCGAAAGTCAGTGCACGACAGCTGACACAAGCAAACCTGTGAGACGCAAGCGCATGTC